ACTGTATCTGATATTAGGCGGCCAGACACATATATCTGCTGTCCTTTTTCTACATGTTGATTGGCAACATTAGCCAAGTCATCCCAAAATGTCAAATTAATCCTGAAACCACAAAAATAGAAACTGAAGAACTGAAATTTCTGCTATTGGTCATTAAGTAGGATAAAAAAGAGATAGGAAAGGAGGATTGCTATTTCAAGCAGAGTAAGCTTCATCATTGCTTAACCTCTCTTTTATTCATTAAGGAAGCAACAGTAGGAATGCGAGAACAATGAAACAAAACCTTTTATGTAGAAATAATCTATGTTAAACTCAAATTTACTAAGCCAAAAAGAACATGATCTGAGCCCTCAAAGGAAACATAGAAACAGAGGACAAACACACTAGTAAACTACACTATAAAAGAAATAGAATTTAGTCAAAGTCCTAATGAAAAAAATGAAAGCTTGAGGGAAGGAGTAATGCCAAACCAAATGGCAGCTTTCAGATATTTTGGTCCTAAAAGAATGCAACTTGGAAAGAGTTAAAAAAGGCACCCACTTGGAGAACAAAAGGACTGTTGGTTTCACAAGACTTATTCATCAGAATGGTCGTCAAAATCAGAAGTGCGGAGGCATTTCTAAGAACGCAAAAGGAATTGGATATGGAAACTTCAAAATTAGATCTTGCTCGACAACTAGTTAACGCAAGTACACTTAACTCATGTGCCCAAGCAAATTTCAATTTTAGGGATTTTTCTAGTCCCTTGTCAAGCTAAAAATTGGTATCAGGAAACTCATGAAAACTGACTTTCTAGGTATGTGGTATGGAAAATTCAGACACTGTCCAGTTGTGGAAGAGGAAGAAAAGTAGATCAGTGGACATTAGGATACAAGGATTATAGCAACAGAGATAGCTTTCATGAGTCAATGGATTTATGGAAGCAGTTTGTAAGTCATAAGGTTTTGCCACATTGAATCTTGAATTAGGTAAAAGAAAAGACAAACTTGTTTCAGTTGAAAACATAAATTATGCATCTACTTTCACTACTTGTTATGTTAACACACTAGATGTATGCGTATTGCCAATAGTCTTTATCAGTTTTATGGCCATCAATTGAGGATGCCATAACCTCGTGGCATAATAGTAGATATACTGCATCTTTCATTAGATTTCCACATCGTAAAGTTTCAGTACATTAAATTTTCTAGCTATGATGGCTTCAAGATAATCTCTTTAACCCCTTAAGTGTAACAACAGATCATTGGAACAATGCCATGATATACAATTATCATTTATCGCAGTAAAAATTACACCAAACTAAAGCAGCCATGATAGAGTGCCTATTAGGTGAATTATAGTTGGATCACTTTGTTCGATTTGTTATTGGATGAAGGCTTAAAGTTTTCACAGTAGCACAAAAGTTTGCCTCTAAACTAACACACTCACATTATTACTACTTGTATTGGTGAATGAAAATAGTTTACTTAGGGGTTGTTTTGTTGCTAGTTAGAAATGTAAATTACTCATGTATTAAAACCAGTATAACGAGTACCATGTTCGGTAGCATTTTAGTTGATTGTACAAAACTTTCAACATTACCAGTTTCAAAAAAAAAAAGATGTATAAAACTCAACACACCAAATACGGTGTTTGGTTACCAGTTTGCAATCTCGCGTAATACTTATGAGGAATCTATATATAGAAGATGGATAACTAATACATGAATAATTAAATCTTGCATAACTTACCTCTGCATTACTAACCTACATAGCTCTAACCCGCAACCAAACGACCCCTTAATGTGTTCGAATTAGAGTTGCAGTCTAGTAATTGCAACTTTAACAAATGGTCCTCCTTAGGTGTCATTTGGTTGCTTATTAGAAATGTAAATTATTCATGTATTAAAACCAACATAACTAGTACCATATTTGGTAGGATTTTAGTTGCTCTGCATAAAATTTCACACACCAAGTTTGGTATACCGCTACCAGATTACAATCTCGCATAACTAATACTTACTTACGAGGGAATCTATGTATTATTTATGCAGGATAGAGGATGGAATAACTAAATCCTGCATAATAATTGTTGCATTACTAATAGCTACATTAACTCTAACCAGCAACCAAACAACCCCTAAATGGCTACAAGTGTTCGAATTGGAGTTGCATTCAAGATGTCAAAATTTTCAAAAGGATAAACATAAAAAAGTGCAAGCAACCAAACAAATCAACAGGGTGTCGTTTAAATTACCAAGTAGTGTCGTTTTGCGACTTCCTTACAGCAAGGCGAGTCCAAGCTACAACCTTTCCGGAATTAAGATGCTTAATTTGAACCGGCACTGCAACATTACCAATAAGCTGCACTGAATTACAAAGCTCCTTCTTCCACTGTACTTCCGAAGGCCGTGGGTACTGAGAAACCCCAGCATACCTTTCATACTCATACACACTACCGTTTCCATTTCCAGAACTATTATTATACTCAAATGAACATCTTATACGACAACCCGAAGCTAATTTCGCGGTTTCTACTTGCTTGGATGGAGAGAAAAATCGAAAAGAGTGAGATTTGGCAGGGGTTCTTGGTGTTGTAGAGAAGAAAGGGTTAGTGAATGCAATTGTTTGTTCCAACGCCATTACTGAATTAATTTCTCTTTCGCTTCTCTTCTTCCCTAATGCGCCACAGTATTATCTTATCGTATTGTTCTTCTTTCAAACTTCGAAATCACGCCGGGCTTTGTTGAGATATTTTTCCGTTTGTGATATTTGCAATGTTTGGTCCGTTTTGTTATTTAAAAGAGCAGATTCACACCCTCGATATTGAATTCCGCTCACTTTTAATAGACATGGTTCGGTAGATATCGAATCGGCCAAACACATATGCAGACTCTTAAACTTGTTCTTAAATCTCATTTTGGCACTCCAACTCAACCTTGTTCCATTTTAAACCTTCAATTCCAATTTTTATGTTCAATTTTGACACTTCTTTTCAAAAAATCAACAAAGTGGGATGTGTGTATTTCACATGCCATTATTGTGTTAAAAAATAATGGATGAACATCGTTTTTTTATAAAATATTTTTTTTTAGAGTTTCTGTACATTATTGTGTAAAAAAATAATCGACAAAAGTGTGTTGATTTTTTTTTCAAACAATTAGTTAATTTAAATAACATCACATATTATTTTTTTCATATCTAGTCTATTTGGACTAACTCAAATATCAGCTTTCTAATTTTTCATTCAACTAAATACGAGTAAAAAAAAACTCATGTTCATTGCTAATTAATAACACTACAAAAAAATGTTGAAACTCGATAGACTTCGTTGGATTGTCATTGATTTTTTTAAGAAAGAAAATCGAGCACTTTCGTTGGTTTTTTTCAAGCAAAAATATAAGAAAACTCTTAAAAAGAAATTGTTACTTTTTTTATATAAAAAAAAAAACAAAACAATGATAATCCGTCAGTTTTAATTTTTTACAATAATTAATGGATGATCGTCGATTTTTAAAATGCAAAATTGCAGTTCAATAACATATATAGAAATAAAGAAATCATAAAATTAGTATTTTGTGTTAAATGGTACATAAAAGAAACAAAGTTAAAGGGTAATCTTTTATTATTTTTTAAAAAAATACTTTTTTTTTGTCTTTCACTCTCTTAGAGAATGTGTGATGCACACTCTCTGCCACATCACTTAGAAGTGCCAAAATGGAACATAAAAATTGGAGTTGAAGGATTAAAATGGAACTAGGTTGAGTTGGAGTATCAAAATGAAATTTAGGAACAAGTTTAAGGGTCTGCATATGTGTTTGGCCTATCGAATATCATGTCAAAATTGAATTTTTTTTAATATTATAGTATTTCGTATGTCTTTAAAAAAAGTTTGGTATTCGATTTGATATTTGATATTTATGAACAAAAATATTGAAATACTGAATATTATACTCAAGTATATATATGTAGTTATATAATATTAGCAAATATATAAAATAGTGACTAGTTATTTAGATCTTGAAATTTTGACTCGACTTAGATGTTCTTGATGGGTAAATGTCTAAATGATTAATTAAGAGAATTGTTTGTACTTTATTTTGTATATTTTTACTTGTATAAGGTATTAGTATGATATAATTGAGACGTTTTTTGAAAAGTTAAAGTCATAATTCTTTATTATACAAATATATAAGTTTAAGTTGACCAAACTATGATAATCGATTTACCATACCGTAAAATATGGAAATCGAACTTTAAAATATCGAACTATATCGAATTAATTTGATATAGTAATAATATAGTGTTTTTAAAAAACTAAGAATCAAAATTACTGAACCAAATATTTCAATTCCAGATTCTATATGCAAAGGTTAGTATATATACATTATTTAGATGAGATTGATAATAAAAGAATTATTATAAGATAGCCAATAAGTAAGAGAGTAGTAGTTGCTACGAAGTAATTGATAACAAATGTATGAAATTAGACTTTGACAAGATAAACTTCAGATATAGTTATTTGAAGTAGGCATATATGTGTAAAAAAATTAAATTAAAATGACACAAATTAAAAGACATCATATAATTGGCTAACCATGAAATTTATCCAACTTTTACGAGTGATGTCTTTTGGGATAACTGTTTAATAAATGATTATTATTTTTTAATTTCTCTTGCAACATATGAATCTTTAAACCACCATCTAAAAATCATTTCTAAGCAAACTTACAAGTTACAATTTTAGATAATGATGTATAATTTTGTACATATTAAACGACAATCTAATATTCATCGATTTCAAGTGCTATATTTGGCCAACTTTTTAAAAATATGAACAAAATCTTAATGATAGCCTAAAAAGGGACATTTTGTGTAATGATGCCCAAATCAAGCTAGTTACCCAACCCACTATGAATTTGACCAAAGCCCAAACAGCCAAACATATTGTGGCCCAATGATATGAGAGCCCAAATATAGTCCTTATAAATTCTAATGGGCCTGCCGGTTTAAGGCCTTGATCAGGACACGCGAACAAGGAACGTGTGTGTGGCACGCAGAACATTCATAGTGAGACTTCCGATTTCTCCATTTTCTCCGACCACCGTCTACTCGGAGCAATCACCGGAGACAAAAAATGTTCGGTCGACTCGCTGCCCAACGCCTGAACGAGATCCGAACGGCCATCCGCCGAACTACTCAGGTCTAATCTTCATTAATATATTTTCCTTTTCACTTTGATAGATTGGTTCTTCCTGCCTTTCAGTCTAAATCTCTTCTATTTTTCCGTTTTACAGGCATCGCGATCTTTTTCCACTGCACTCAACTATGTGAGTTGTTATCTAATTGTAATTTCGGAGTTCTGAGTTTAGATTCGAAATTTGAGTATTCAATTGCGTGTTTATGTTTTTATTTGTTTGGATTTTTATTGTACGCAGCACATTGATACACCGGACAACAAGCCGGACCTTCCTTGGGAGTTTAATAATGCAAACAAGGAAAAGGTTAGCATTGCTTATTATCCCCAAGAATACCAAAGACCTACTTCTTTGTCATATCACTTGCAACATTTTTTAGAATTTATATCAAAAGGTTGAATCTTTGCTATGCCTCTTCTGTTTTTCTTTCAATTTTGTGTGTGGAAGTTGAGAGCTCTTATTACCAGGATTTATGGCATCTCCTTTACTAAATGTTTCAAACTTTTTTGAATCAGAATATGCTTTCTTTGTATGTTTTGATGAAAATGTATTCCCCTGTAATCTATATCTGTACTATTATCTGTGTAAAGCTATTTAAGTGCCTATCTAGGCTTTGAATATCTGAACTTGGTTGAAAAATTGCATGAAGATAATCTAGACTGACTCAAGTTTTGAGCTTGGCTGCGAAATGAATAACAGCCCTTTGAAATGATGTACCTTACATCATAAATTCAAGCTACATCTGTATGAGAAGATTGTCTAATTGAGCATTCAAACTTAGTTTCTCATTTGGAAATGAATGGGAGAAAAATTATTTTCTTAGAAGAACCTAATGATCAAGTCGGTTCTGCATATCCAACCCAAAGAGAAGGCTGGAGAAGCAATAAAATGTAGAGAGACAATCACAAATAAAAGGAAAATACTTTCAAAGATAGTAGGTGTTAATGTTGTTGTTCAAGGCAAAATACATTCCCTGTTTGTTGCTTGGGCCTATTTTCATCATGTTATTCAGTAGCACTGCTGGTGCATTGACTCCAAAATTGCAAAAGTCAGAAACATCTTCTTCCGTAGCATTCTTCAGCAATTTTTAAAATTTACTAATCGAAAAAATAGTACGAAACTTCCTGCATCATAGAGATTTTTGAAATGGCTTTTGAGTGTTGATTAGCTTCAATAATCTGATTCCAGAGGATTACCATGGTAGTGTACTTCAATTGAATCTTATGCATCTCTTTAATTGGTAACTATTTGCTTACCCTCTATCTTAAATCCTACTTAATCCTCCCGTGCAATGTGCAGGTGAAGGAGATACTGTCTTTCTATCCATCCAACTATAAACAATCTGCAGTGATTCCTTTGTTGGATCTTGCACAGCAGCAAAATGGAGGGTGGCTACCTGTTTCGGCGATGAATGCAGTATGTTGACACTGTTTGGATTGATTCTTACTTTTTGCATTATTATAAAGTTTGTGTCGTAATGATCAGCATTTTCAACGGTTACCACTATTGAATATTGAGATTATTTGGTGCACTTCTTTACAATTTATCAGCATTTGATTGCTAGAACCAATTCGGCTTTAGTTCTTGCCATTATTGTATTGTATTATTTGTCATAGGTGTATTAACTTGATATTTGTATTACTCCCTTACCCTTGTTTCCTTTGTATACCCTCAAAGTAAGCACACTGCAATTTGCCGTTCCTTAATTAGGGTTTATTTGTTCTATGGTTTTTCCACCTATGTCTAAACTGTCATTTAAAAGTATCTAATCTAATCTTCTAAATGTTTAAGGTGGCTAAGGTTGTTGAAGTCGCCCCAATTCGTGTATATGAAGTTGTAACTTTCTACACGATGTTCAACAGGACAAAAGTGAGTAGTTTGTCTTGACCTTTGGCTTGTGCAAGTGCAGGAAATTTAGAACCAATCTTTACTTAACATAGCTTACTCAGTTTCTTGTCCCTTTAGGTTGGCAAATACCACCTTCTGGTTTGTGGCACAACACCTTGTATGATCCGTGGTTCAAGAGGTATCGAAGAAGCTATACTGAAGCACCTGGGAGTAAAGCGCAATGGTCAGTTTTTTGTGGCGATCTTTACAATTATTTTGTTAGCCTTTTTGATAGTCCTAATTATACTGCTTGATCAAAAAATAAATAAAATAGTCCTAATAATCCTATTGTTGAAACATGTTCTTATTCTGGTTTATGACTTCTTTATGTATGCAGAAGTAACCAAGGATGGCTTATTTTCTGTTGGTGAGATGGAATGCATGGTGAGTCATTTTTCATATATCTTATTGATGATGACCTTGATTCTATTTGGTGGCCTTGACTCCGACATGACAGCAATTTTGTGAACTAGTTTAGGCTCATATGCTTTCCAAACCTAAGATCTGATGTTGAGATTGGTTTGTTATGCAATAAATCACATGACCATGCTTGTGAGTTGTGACTGATAGTAACTAAAATAAGGAGTAGAAATTGGCTTATCTTTAGTGTTGGATGGCTACTTTAGTTAATTGTAGTTCTCAAGGCAAATGTAGGAAGACACCAGAGATTTTCTCAGCTATGGCCTTGGTTATAGTTGTTCTGATGATTAATGTATCTTGTAGATTCGTATGCATATGCACTCTTAATCGCGAGCAAGCCTGCTTTAGTGGCATTTTGAAAGAAATCTTGATATTAAGATGAGGATTGAGTGCCACTTCCGAAACCCAGTTGTCTAGGAATCTAAGGCATTATCAACTGATCATGATTAAGTTCATCTGACACGCATTCCACAGGCTCAATGGAAAGGATCTTTAAGTATTCTTGTCTAAATTTTGAAAAGATTCCTGGGGTTACTACAGTTATATTAGAAGGGTAGGGTGGTTTCCAGAAAACACAAAGATAGATGATATCGTAAGAAGCCAATTTCTATCACGTTTCCTCTCTAGTGCTCAAGTTCATGTGTAGATGCGGAGCCAAGATTTCAATTTAATTGGTTCTGGATTGTAGAATGACGATTTCAAGTGCTAATAATTGGGTTCTAAATTTAAAATATATATATATTTAATGATTTTCTTAACACAAAAACATTGTTTGAACAAAAGCTATTGGGTTTGGCCGAACTCATATATGACTTCTACCTCCGCTCATGTTCTTGTGCATGCATGTGTACCAAGAGTGTTATGACATGTTTAAGTTGAACTGAAGCGAGACCCTGTAATGTTCTGATATTTGTGGTGCTAAACGGAGATTTAATATAGCCTTGTTTTTCTGATAAGTTCAAGTTTTGTTAATAACGTACCAAAATGGTACAGGAATTACAACAAGCAACAAAAAAACTATCGGGTAACCCCCCCGAACAAACTAAATAAGTCCATAAACTGGTCCATATTTTCAATCATATTACCATTACACCAAAAATATGGTTGTTTGGTACGAAGAAAAATGTTTTCCATGAAAATGATTTCGGAGAAAGTTTTTTCTTGGAAACCAAGCGGGTTTCTTACTTGTTTTCTTGCTTTTGGTAAGTAAGCAAGAAAATATTATCCCAAACATTTACCCCGTTAATAAGGTGCCCAACATAAATGCGTTAGCAAATATCCTGGGGGGAAAGATAGGAGAACTTCCCACAGTGTACCTTGGCATGCCCTTGGGGATAAGAGCAAGTCAAAAGGCATATGGAACAATGTTTTGGAGAAATGTGAGAAGAAGCTAGTGAATTGGAAAAGCAAATATTTGTCTCTAGGTGGAAGAGTTACTCTCATCAACAGTGTGTTGGATGCCATGCCTACATACATGAGGTCAGTTTTCCCAATGCCTGCAAATGTGATTGACAAAATGGATGCTATCAGGAGAAATTTTTTGTGGCAAGGGAACTGTGATCCTAATGAGCACAAATATCATCTTGTAAAGTGGGATGAAGTCATTCAAAGCAAAAAAGTAGGGGGTCTGGGATAAGGAACCTAAAAATGCAGAATCAAAGCCTTCTGATGAAATGGCTATGGAGATTTGCATCACAGGAACAAGCACTGTGGAAGGAGACAATCAAGGCTAGGTTTGGAATGGAGAACAAAAGGACTACCTACATGCCCACACAACCGTATGGGACTGGAGTATGGAGGTCTATCAGAAGTCAGTGGATCAAGTTTGCAAACAACTGTAAAATCAAGGTGGGAAATGGGGGAAAAACACTATTTTGGGAAGATGTGTGGGCTGGACAAGAAACTTTGAAGAACAAGTATCCTAACTTGTTCAACCTGAGCCTTCAAAAGGTATCCACAATTAGAGAAATGAGAGACAATCAAGGGTGGGATCTCAGGTTTAGGAGACACTTGAACGACTGGGAAATTAACAGAGTGGCTGAACTACTCAATACTCTGGAGCAATACAAAGATTTAACTCCCAATGAGGACAATCTATTTTGGCTACCAGACAAGCAAGGCAGATTTTCAGCTGGTTCAGCTTACAAGACATCACAAAGATCAGTCTCTCAGAGTAGTGGCGTGGCTGGCCCTGGAAGATGATCTGGAAAGTCAAGGTACCCTTCAAGGTTGCATGTTTCACTTGGCTACTAGCCAAACAGGCCACACTCACCCAGGACAACCTTGTTAAAAGAGGTCGTCAATTTTGCTCTAGGTGCTCTTTTTGTGAATGTGAGATTGAGACAATAAATCATCTCTTTCTACATTGTAGAGAGACTGAAGTTATGGCAGATTTTCATCAATTTAAGAGGCATAAGCTGGACTATGTCAAGGAGCATCAAAGAGGCTCTAGCTTGCTGGAATAGAGATGGGAATCAGTCAGGACATAGGGAGAGATGGAAGATTGTCCCAGCCTGCATTTGGTGGACTATATGGATGGAAAGGAACCAGAGATGTTTCAAAAACAAGAGCTGCTCTCTGTAGAAACTGAAGATGAACTGTCTAGTCCTTTTCTTTTTTTGGTGTAAACACGAATATCCTCAAGAAGAAGAGGATATTCCTAGTATTTTAGATTAATTATGAAGCTTAGTAGGGACACCTCTCCCTCTGTAATTTTGTTGTAAGTATTTCTGGAATACTTCTCTGAGTATTCCTTTTGTTCATAATACAAGTTACCTTCTTCAAAAAAAAATTATCCCAAACATTTATATGTTATCTGGCAAAACACTATGGAGGTGGGATGGGATGAGGATTGGGGGTTCAAGGGTGGTGGGCGGTGGGATGGTCAAGGGGTGGCGATTGGGAGGATTGGGAAGAGACAACAAACTTGGAATGCCACTTATGCAACTTGCTTTCCCTACTTCCATTAGGGAGGTCATTTTTCTCATTTTTGAGGAACTTTTTTTTCCTAGAGAAAATATTTTCCAAATATTTAGACCAACCAAACATGAGAAAATTGAAAAACTTTTTCTGGAAAAATGTTTTCCTCCATACCTAACAGGCAAACACACCCTCGCATACTTAGTTCTAGAAATTTGCAATCTCTCGCAACCTTGGTTCCTTTCCAACCATATAGTCCAAAAGATACAGGTTGGAATTGTTCTACAAATCTGCCTCATGTTTCTAGGCATCCAACGACTTTGCCAGCACTCCATTGAACTCTTGATCTTAAGAGGCATTACCCATGAAACACCAATCAGTCAAAAAAGCTCCCAGCATTCCCTGGAGGATCTGCAGTGCAGGAACAAATGTTCCACTGATTACAAATCTTCTTCACATAAAAAGCATCTGCTATTTAGAGCATAACCCCTCTTATGCAAGTTATTCCGAGTTAAACAAGCCTTCCAGGTGACAATCAGCTAAAACAGGCTGCTTCCAACCTGATTTATTTGCGTCTGCACATCCCACATTCATGGTCCTTAGGTTACTTCACTTAGGTACTAGGCATATACCCTTGGTCTACAAGGGTACATTGGACTCTTGTCTAGTTTGGCAGGCAGGAATATATCCAGTGACAAACATAATTTGTCAATGAATAGTGGAAACTGGCCTCCTGACAACTTAATATGATAACCCACATAAATCTGTTAATGAATTAGAACTCCAACATATACAGTACGACCTCTATATAACAACCCCAAGTTTTCTTTGGTTAATTTTTTTTATGTGGCATTTTACTTCTCTATGACAGTAACAAGTAACAACCATCGTTACAATGACACTCTTTGTGAAGTTAACCCTCTATAGAAGGCCTTAAATCAAATATCTATGTACTTACTCCCTCTTTTGCAATTTATGTGATGCAATTTTCTTTTTGGCATGTTCCAAAGAGAATGACACATTTATATATTTAGAAGCAATTTAACTTTAAATTTTCCATTTTGCCCCTAACAAGATGATTTATTGCCACGCACGTATACATAACTTGTCTTAGATCATTAGTTTCAAAAGTCAGTCTTTCTTAAACTCTGTGTCCAATCAAAGTGCATCACATAAATTGGGTGGAGGAAGTATTATTTTATAATAATTACAGAAACACAATCTATTTTTTTTGGGAGACGTAACTCTAATAAATTTTTCTAAGTTCCAACGAGGAATTTGGAATGTCAAAAACTCTTGTGAACTTGAAATGAGATTCGATCAAAACCTGGAAGAATTTGATTTTCAAATAGTTTTGAATTATCATCCTTAGAGTTGAAGTTCTTATATGTAGAACTTGTTATGGATTTATTAATATTGTATTAGCCTTTTGAAATTTTTAAATAATGACATATGAATGTCTTTTAAAGTTTTAAACTTAAATTAATTTTTCTTTTATAACATTAAAAAAGTTTGAAAAAAAGACGTTTTAAACAGTTTTTGTTTGTAATAACTAAATTAGATCTAAAGGTCAAATGTTGTTATAGGCATGTTATAGGCAAAAAAGGGTTCAAACAAATGAGGTTGTTATGAAGAGGTTTGACTGTAATGATGTGCATGGAGACATGGCCAAACACACGATGTATGGATGGATACATAATTAATTCCACCTATACCTAAAGTAAAGTGACAAGAAGTCTCAGATCCTGTGGAAAATGAATTCTTTTTTAAACCTGCGAAACGAGCAACTTGTTGAGGAACTTCGTTTTCCTCATAGCCCTTTGATGGTTTGGTCCTGGTCTAATAGGGGCCACTAAAGCCTTGAATTCATGGATTGTTGAGAGGATGCCTTTCTTGGTTGGATGGTTTTAGATACATGTGAAGAGAAAGATGTGATGGGTAGGGACTATTTAAAGTCAGAGAACTCATCTTACTGTTAATTAGCCAGTTTTCTCAAACAGTATTCTCCTATTTATGTTTGTCATGGTGAAGTTTGACTAGATATTTATGATAACTAAAAATACTCCAGGGCCACTGGAGCACGGTTTGGAACTCTATGGATAATTTAAATTGGTGCCGACAAATAACCAATTCGCAAACTTAAATACTAGGATTTTGTTTGCACCAGGGTTTGAAAGTCCCTAACCTACACTTTTACCACTAGACATAAACATCGGAGTCTAAATCTGGCTAGATTAAGTTTGTGCTGTTATATGACAGAATATCATTGTCGCCAATGCATTGAGGTCTGTCCAGTGGACCATGTTGAGACCTGAATTGGGTGTCTGAAGGGGGGGAGGGGGGGAAACTTACTATTAATTTGGAACCCTGGAGAAGTCATGAAAATTATAAGGATATATGAATATGACACACCAATGAAAGCATGGTGGGGACGACAAGATTGTCTCTGCTTTCTATTTTTTGCTGACTGTCGGTCTAAAAACCTATTTTACACTAGTTTAGGTCCTCCTAACCAATCTTGTAAAGGCATAACCGCATAAGGTATGATTCTGGAATTGAAACAGTGGAACCTACTGTTAATGACAAGATATGCTTATCCATAAGAAGACAATTTTCAATATGCTTAAGAAATAATAATTCAATACTAGAGGTAGTGTAGAGAGCATGAAAAATGTCAAAACATTATTAAAATTGCTGTTCAGATCCTGCGGAGATTTGTTCTCTATATGAGAATGAGGATTTAATGGTCAGGCTTTAGCTATTGCTTATTTTGAGCAAAAGGCATCAGAAGATGTCAAGCTATATAAAAATGTGCAATGTGGTCATTAACTACAGTATACAACTATCAAGTCCTCCATACTTTCCCCTCAACACTGGTGGCCTTGTAGTCTTGGAAGCTAAAATTGTCCTTGGGGAGGAGGGGTGGTTTCTCAAACTATAGGGAAGGCTATTAGTGTTGTTTAAACTACTGCGACATCCTTCTTACTTTCCATGAATTGGAGATGCAAGGAACCATTGATTAGGTCATTAGATGCTTATATTGGTTCCAGAATGTTGAACACCATTCAAGTCATTGCTTATTTGATATAAAACTGTTTTAATAATATACCTTATCTTTGTGGCAGGGGTGCTGTGTAAATGCTCCAATGATGACGGTGGCTGACTATTCCAATGGATCTGAAGGATATGCTTACAATTATTATGTGAGTTAATACATTAATCCTGTTTTGATCACTTGTTGTTCAATCTTGTACTAATAAGTTTAAGTATTTGGAGCTCAATTGGTCTTCCCTTCCTTTCTGCAGGAGGATCTCACTCCAAAGAAAGCTGTAGAGATTGTTGAAGCATTCAGGAAAGGTGAAAAACCACCGGTAAGATGACTATAAGTTGCATAGACTAATTTTATGTGCATAATGATATTACTACCTTGTTGATTGGCATGCTTTTTTATGTTTCAGCGTGGCACACAGAACCCAGGTCGTGTCAATTGTGGACCAGAAGGAGGAAATACTACATTATTAGGTGAGCCTAAGGCTCCTCCTTGTCGGGATCTAGATGCTGCTGAATAAGTTTCTTGTTGTTCAGTTTTTTAATAATGCAAAACAATGGATGGAGAGACACATCCGATGTCATATGCAGTAACTTACCTACTGCATTGATGTTTAAAGATTGTTTTCTGTCTGTCAGTATGATTACAGGTAAAACTGATTCTTGTTTATTTTTATCGGTTAACTCGAACTGGATCCAGTGAAAGTCCTTTGTTTTGGGTCAGGATGTCATATTTTGCCTATAATTGGTTTAGTACAGAATGGTTAGTTTACAATTAGGAAGTTTGATTTAAGAAGCCAGTTGCTTTTCCAATCAGTACACTCTAATGCTGAAGTGTATTGGGAGCAATGGCAATGTTCGGTGTTTTGGATGTGAAAAGAGATTTTCTACTGAATAAAAAAATTGGAACTTGCATTCAAAGCTAAATTCTTATTTTCCCTTTTACTTGTGACTATATTTAGATTCAAGTTTCTTGTTTCACATTGACTGTAAAATTGGAGTCAAAGTTGCTATTCTGAGAGTTTGATATTGCATTTATACTTTCGTTAGTTAGTTGAAAGGCGGGGGCCTAAGATCGGTTGGCTCCGTTTGGTTTCATGTAGTATCAGTTTTTGGTTTTTAAATATGCTAAATCAATAACCAAACCTATGAGATATCTTTTTTATTGGTTATTGATTTATCGATTTTTAGTCTTCATGATTTGGTTTAACCAATAAGAAAGTTTAGTTCAAAATCAAATGAAGAGTATTTTATAAACACTTAATCCAGATCACATTTATTAATCAGCCATCAACATTTCAATCTCCTTCAAAGTCTTTGATGAAAGTTGTTTGTTGAAATTTGAGTCTAGTAATTGAGAGTCCAAGTCAAATAACTATCATCAGATAGGACCAACCCAAAAATATTATCCAAGTTATTATTATGATAACGCAAGAAAATACTATATTGTATAAAGCAAAATGGGAAACAACTTTCCGTCAGAGCCGCCTTTTTCATTCTCTCTCCAATTATGCATCTCAATAATTATTCAGGAGAAAATTTAGAGAATAAGTCAAACCACTTTCACAACCCAACCACACACGCTTTCAAAATAATACAAAATAAAAAAAAAACTTAAAGTTAAGAACTTTTTTTGGACTATAATTGGTTGGAAATAGGTTATCTCAAGTTTAATTAATTTGGGATAAGTTATTTTATCATATATATAATAATTAAGATAACTTATCTCATCATTAAGATATAAACGGTGAGATATATAATTTTAGAACTGCCTAATACCTCCAACCAAACAACCTTGCATTTTATCTCTAAAATTATTATCCCTTATGCCTAGTCCTAAAATCTTATGTCATGGGACAACAAAATCTAGTATTAGAATTAATTTGGAACAACTCAAATACTTTGCTACTTCCTTCAACAAATGGAAAAAAAATAATCATTTCTTGTTAAATTTTAATCTCCTATAAAGCTACTATTGTTACCACTAGCACTGAAATAGATTATTAGTTAATGTGTCAGTCTTACAGGGCCCCAATTTCCACTAGGAAAACATAGAGCCCCCACCACAAGTGCTTCTACATCCACCACTATATTATCCTAGTCCCACCATTCATTTTCTTCTCTTTCACACTTAACATGAAGAGAAAGTTTGACAATTTCTTTTACTACTTGAATATATCAAACAACGACAACATACTCAGTATAATTAAGATAGTCTATATCCGTTAGACTCTCAGTTCAAGTAAAACATATAAAAAATTAAGTATAAGAGCTGAAAACAAAACTACTTGAATATATCAATGATAGAAAATGGTTTACTTTATACATAAAGCATTAAAAAAAAACCCTGTTTCTTTCAACAAAAAGCTAAAAATTACTTAAATAGATAAAAGTAGGAACCATCCACTTCAAGAAAATTCTTAAGGTCATTAGCATGTTATGTCACCTTTTTCTATAAGGGTGTCATCTATGAAGGAGGATTTGTTTCTGGCTTAACAAGACTTGATGTATCTGGTGGTTGAGAGTGATAAATTGCTGATGCAAGAGAAATAGGCATTATACATAGTGCCTTAGACTGAAGAAATTGCATTGCAGCACCAACATTTTCTTCCATAAGTTTAGCCACTTGCCTTTCTGTGCCATCACTTGACCACTTTTCCCAAGCTGGTTGGTTATTATTTCCACCTTCACTGCTCTCTTCCTAAATAAGACAAAGCCACAAGGATAAAAAGTATTAAGAAATTAATAAAGTGGACAAATCTTCCAGAAAAGAAGTCTAATAAGCTTATTATAATTAAAAAAAGTACCTCTACTGATGATATTGGAATGTCTGTAACAAGTGGTGCTACTGCACCAGCTCCTCCTAACCTACTCATGCTCAACACCTGTAGTGTCAAATATAATTTTTAACTTAGAAAAGTACCAAAATGTTCAATAATGCAGGAAAAAAGTATTGATTCAAAAGGAGGAGAAAATCTAGTGCTATACCCTCTAAAGAGGAAAGGTAACTTTTCCATGATGTGAGTGGGAGATCCTTTATGGCATTTCTCATTTCACTATTAGTTTCTTTTTCAAGTTTAAATTATTTGAGAGGTTTCCATCCAGCAAAACTTCCTTTCAACACAAATATCCGGAGGGAAACTGTTTACTAATCAATTGATTTGAACAGATAGACATCGAATTCAACTAACCATAAGGAAAATACTGCGCAGAAAATGACATGGGAACATTTCTTGAATGAAATGAAAGCCATTGAAAAGAGCAATGCAAAAGCAAAGTGAAAGAATATTCCGTGGAGAGTACATTTTAAAGAATTTTATGCAGAAAATCCAATCATGCCAAGATGCTAGTTTCTGCACCTTGGAAGTATTACATTCATGACATATTTTTTAAAAAAATTAATAAGTAGCAGTTACATGAAGCTCTGAGTATTATCAGTAGTACCAGAATGCATTTCTGAAGAACCTTCACAATCAAAATCAACATCGATAGGTTCAAAATGATTTAGAATGACCCGTGATTGTAACTTTCGAAAAGATTCTATGTTAACTCACCTTCACTTGCAGCCGTAGGAATTTGACATAATCTACAATTTCATCAAGCATTACAGCTCTATCAGTCTGCAAGACCAATGAACAAAGGAAACAGTTGATGACTACTGATATGACAAACTTAACAGAATGATACAGCATAGTAACTACAACATGCCAAACATTGTTAATGCTTTAATTATGGCACCAGAAGAATTAGAAATGGGTGGTTGAACGTTTGCATTAACCTATAGATGCGTATAATCTCTCAAGACCTTCTAAAGATCACTTGAGATAAAACATACATAAACCTGTTTTACTTTGTCCCACAATCTCTGATGGGGATGTGGAAGTTATAGAATAATCAAAGAAAATGATGCAGCAACGTTTTTACCTATTCATAGATTTTGGTCTACTAATAAAATAAAAGATCAAGCTTCTTTTCCGTGACATTTGTTGGCAATTTCAAAGCACAAGACACCTTGTTTAAGCATGAAAAAATTAATTCTCGTAATAATTTTCATAACGACCATAATTTCTATCATATTCTTGTTTGGCTTCTGCGTGAATCCAAACTCCCTTAATCATCAACAGTAGAACAAGTAGACTAAACCAAATTGAAGATCTGCTTCAGTTAACGTGTCGAACTATACTGAAATAAATTCTCTTTAACCAGTAGATCTACAACTATGTCTTCTAATAGTGACTATCAAACATGAAATAAGGACCACAATATATGTCATGCAGTATCCTCATAATACGATGCGTATCAGCTACTCTGTACTAAACCTTATGGAAGAACAATAGCAGAAGGAAAAGTTACCTAATGAATCAACTTCGACTTTTTACATTCTTTCAGGCAGACTAAAAAACACGGGAGAAAAGTTGAAAACTGTACACATGGGAAAGTCATATCCATGTGACCCTACTATTTTTGAAAGAAGTCTCTTTTGGTTTTTCATTTTGAAGTCCTTATTGCTTCTCTATCAATAAAATAGCATCATAACTTGAACAAACTGAGAAAGTTGAAGGAGCTAGTGATTTTAGTTTTTCATTAATTCTGCAAATATTGCTCCATCAAATTCCTGAATTCTTTGGGTACGTAGGCACAAGCCCACAAAAGAAAACTGTGAAAAGAAAGGGGTCTCAATGTTTAACCCTCTACCTTTCTATCTTTTTAAAAGGATGCTCACAGTAAGTGAAGCATAGTTCAGTATATAGAAGAAAGAAAACTAACCTTATTGACACTGGGAACCAACTCTTGCAATGCTCTAATTCTTTCTGCTATCCTCTCTCTACGTAACTTCAGGAAAAGAAAAAAATCAGTTAGAATGGTAAAGTAACAGCAACTGAATACTAGGAAACAGGCCTTTATACATAGTATTCAACCTTGCACCGATGCTCGGAACTAGGATGTTATTCTACCTAGCATATTACTGAATTCTACAATAACACATTTTTGGCAGCTTAGGAATTATCAGTGTAGTATCAGAACATCTTATGCTCGTTGAAACTATGTATAACCCAAAATAATATGAACTCTAGATGATCTCCAGTGAAAAAATTAATGTTGCACTTTGAAGAGCTTAATTCAAGCTCATTCATTTACTGTGGACAGTTGCAATCAAATTAAAAGAAAGGATATTATTTTACTTCTGTCCAAATGCTAGAAGCAACAGAAAAATATGCCCGTTGTTAAACAATCTGAATAACTTTAGAATACTCTTCACTGCAAAAAGAAAAAAAACATACCCTCTCCGCAATGCTGTGTGGATCAGTAGCTTGTCCTCGCCTAGCTCTCACCCTTGGACGTATTGCAGGGGGATGCGGCATTGAAGGCATGGGTTGTCCATGAAAACCCTGTAAAGATAGAACCTTGTCATTACTTTTGATTGTATATCAAGGAAGCAATTGGTAAAATCACTTTGTAAATGGCCAAATTTCTTCATATTTAGATCTCGGACCATGGTTTCGCTTACATCACCTTGAATGGAAAAAAGTATTGTTACATGTCAAGCCCCTTTTTCTAGGCGAGTCTGCAATTCCAATTTTCAAAAGCTAGCAATAGTAGTCTTAAAATGAACAACCTATATGATCTCTAGCTTGAATACACAAATATAAGCCTTATTTTTAAAACACCTCATTCTTAACTCCAAATTATACTGGACTAAGGCAGCCAAGTCCAGAAAAGGAAAA